AAATCATTGGCTCATTGATGTGACAGTTCAATGCAAGAGTCTTCAAAAGGACGGGGGCAGGGCAGGCAGGCTCCGATCCGTGACTGTGTTGCCAAGGAAGTTCCACCAGCTCTTCCCAGCACCCCGGGGGGGGTTGTTATCGGCCCCCTCCTCACTCACCACTTGTCTTTGGCCCTCCCCTGCATCAAGACGCTCCCTCACCTCTCTGCCATAGACCTAATCCACTAGTGCCCACATGTCCCTGGCCCCTCTCCTTGCCCAGCCATAGTGGAGGGCAGGAACCTGGGAGTCCCACTTCACCCCAGACGCCTTTTTCCTCCCTCATTGCTTTGGCCAACAGTGTCAGAAGGGGCGAGTGGATACAAAGGCCTTGATTTCCAGAGGGCCGGGGCTTTAAGGGGTCTCAAGCCGGGCACCCAAAACCAGGGCTCACTTTTGGTAGATCTTGTCCCTGGTCTCTGAGTCCCCTTTCCCCTGCCTCTCTTGGGAAGGGATCCTGGCCTCGACCCTGCTTCTAATCAGAGCCGTATTCCTCTCTCAATCACATCCTGCCCTGGCTATCACCGCACCTTTCATGGTCTCCTTTATCTCCACTCTGCACTTCAGAGGCTTCGGGATGTCGCGACCCCACTGATCTCTGGCTCTGAGGACCTGTTGGACCCTCTCACCCCAGCCTCCGTCAGAATCCAATTCAGAATTGCCCGGCCTGGTTTGCAAAGCTTCCCAGGACTTGTGCCATGCATCCTCCCAGACATCACCCCACGCATCCTTCCTGCTTGGTCACACTGTCCTTTGACTCTCCACACTGCTTTGTCCTGCGGCCTCTCTGCCCTCCCTCACTGCATCCCCCGACCTCGGTCTTCTCTGATGCTCCTGGCTTCCTCCAACCTGCCTGGTCCCCTCCATGCCACTGCTCCCACCCACTCAGTCCAGTCTCAGCCCCCGCCTCGTCCCACTATGACTCTCCTGAGCTGGAGTCATTGCCTAGCCGCTGATTTCTTCACCGCCAGACCTACCTTTCCCCCTCGGCTCCCGTGTGACTTTCCAGGAGGGGCCGGGACATTGTGTAGTAGGGACGCTGCCCAAAAATGAAAGGCATTGTGTTTATTTGGTAGTGAAACATTAGGTGTTGCTATGTGACTCTGAAATCCTTTGGCCCTCATGCAGAATAGCTTTAACTCTTCGCTGCCCGGTACTGGGAGCTCTCCTCTGCAGTCTGCCGAACACACGCCTTCTCTCTTTGGGGATTCATTTAAGAAAGTGACAAATCCCGACACCAAATCTATACCTGTCTAGCTACCAAATCTAGCTCCCTGTAGCATCGAGTGTGTGAACAAACTGCCCTGAACACAGGGAGTGACTGCGGGTGTCAACTCTAAAAGAACCAACTCTTATGGCGTATGATTGTTTTGTGGCCTGTTGTGACGGAGCAGGGAGCGGGGCGGATTTGCCCTGGGAATGTTGCAGGGGGGTTCCATTGGAGATGGGAAGGAAGCTACCTGAGCTGTAACCTGAGCCAGGAGGGGGTTGGGAGAAGTGACACCTTCTGGCCAGGAGACAGGTCACATGTCAAACGTTTCTTTGCAGCCATGAGGGCGAGGGACATTTTTTTTCTAGTGAATGCTGAGATTCTGATCTGGCCCCAAGGGCCAGGAGTTGGCACGAGCCTGAAGTGCTTTCGCCTTCCTCCAGCCCTGCTTTGGTGTCTGTTTGTGTGGACA